CCTCAGATATGCGCATTTCTTTGTTTCTGGCAATTAAATGAGAATTATTACTTAGGTTATTTTTCCCTTAAATTATTACAATCCTAGGCCTTATGAGTTTACTAATCAGCCTTTAAAGGTTCGGAACTTCCTTTGAACTGGCTCCTGCACTCCTGAACGATGACAGTCCTCTCTCATTGGATACATTTTCTTCCATTGCGATCTCCTTGTTCCTCTTTCGGATCCCAGTAACCAATCTTCATTCATACTCGAGTTTCGAAAATGTCTCAAACTAAAAATATAGAATGAAACTAAATATCTATTATTCTTCCGTTACTCTATATGAAATGCACCAAGTTCCTAGCTATTTTCCTAGTTTCAACTCTAAAGCCAAAAAAATAACAAAAAAAAAAAACCCGGACCACATTACAGCACGTCAGACTTCGTTTTGTTTTCTCTTTGTCCTTGCAACAATACCTCTCGTTTATCATGCCCCCTTGTTTCTTACCCAACGCGGATTTATTTCACGTTCCTTTTTGGTCACATTTACTCCACTTATCACTTGTTTGTGTGAAACCTGCTCTATAATTCTCTCGTCTCTTAGCTATTCCGATGTTCCACTCAAGTTGCAAGTTTTTCATGAACTCTGCTTTCCAACCTTCCTCATTTTCAGATTTTTTGTCTTACTAATACTGAAGGATTAAAAATAGGAATTGCCATCACTATGTATTGAAATAAAATAGTTTGTTACTTCAACTCCAATTAATGCGATGACATTCCACAAGATATTAATGAGAAAAGATCATATAATTTTAATACCCACTACTCCGCACCATACATTTACTTTCCATTGGCGCTAGTGCTCCTCAAGCCGGAGCCAGTGAGGATTCTCTACTGCCCAGTAATGTCTGTTTCTTAAAGTTGCCATGATTAGAGAATGTTGCTTGTCACCAAATAATACACGTTGACTTTTAGGCTGTCCGGGTGACGTCGCGTAGTCGGCAGATAGGCTGACGCCTGTCTGCCTGTCTTATCGTAGGCTTCTTCAGGGTAGTGAAGAACTACCCTGAAGAAGCCTGCGATATGACAGGTGAAACGTCGGCCTATCTGCCAACGTCGCGGCGTCACCCGGGCAGCCTAAAAAGTCATGAACTCGAGCCGCGGAAGCCTACGTGTACAAATAATACCCGTTACCAAAACGTGTTATTCCTTACTTGACCCAGAGCAAATCCACAATACGCCATGCGCCTTCCAGAATCTTTACATCCCAGATCATGATGAAGACAAACGTGATAAGGATGAAATTTGTAGCGGTGTAGATTGGGAATCTAGCAGTTAATAAATCTTTGCAAAAACTGCAAATGATTTTATCTGGACATGATGGACATTTTGAGGACATGATCAAATAAACTGAGAAGTAATATAGTGTGTCCTCTGATTACTACATTTTCTTCATATTTTTATTAAGTAATTATTATTATCTCACTAGATTATTGTATCCCTAAGTGATTATTATATGCTCAATAACATTAAAATTGGTTTCTCAAAACGTGGAATATTATTTATACAATCTTAAATATTTATACTTATTGTGTTCTGTTTCAAGATCCCATTAATATCTTGCGGTATGACACCCCATTAAAAGGAGTTGAAGTAACAAATCATTCTATTTCAATCCTCGCACTATTAAGTCAAAATATCTGAAAATGAAGTATGGAAAGGAGAGTTCAAGAAAAACTTGCAACAGTTTTATAAATGTTTGGAATAAGTTTATCTTCAAATACTTGGATCAGCTGCTCTTAGCCTCGCGCGTTAGCAGGGGAACGCTGCGTGACATTCGTTGGCAGACTGTTACATTCAAAATATCCCTTAAACAAGGGTCGAAAAAAACAAAATTACTTCAAAAAATTATTTTATAACATATGACAATATGTAAATCATTGGATTCATCTTTTTACGCTTGTCACGACAGACTAAAATTTTATGTATAGTTTGATTGAAAATAACAAACAATTATATCTCGTAAAACACAAGTGATAAAATAGAAATTAATACATGTATCAATTGACTCCAATCCCTTGTGCTCGTCCGTAAAAACTGCATTGTAATAACTTCAACCGTTCAAAAATTGCAGTAGGTTCTGACTCATCCTGTTTATTGATTGATTGATGGCCAAAAAAGTTGGTCATTCAATCAACTTTTCCAGATTTACCTCGTTTATTGTGCATGCGGGAACAGAACGCCTAATCGTAAACAAATGTCCAACCTGTTGAGGCCGCAAAAGCCTCGCGAAGGCACGCAGCGTGCGGGTGCGCTAGCTGGCTGCCGTTGGGAGCGTTACTCGCGTGCCGGGGTTACGTCACGCGCGGACACGTGCGGTCACGCTCGCCGTCTGTTCCCAGAAGCGGAAACGAGCGGTTTTGCCGCACGACCCTTTGAGCGCTGATGTACTTCCGGTCGCGGATTCCCGCCCACTGCCGCGACATCTTGGTCATTGCCCCGTCCCTCTTTCAAAAGATGGCGGCTTCGTGCGTGGATAGTGCTCAGTGGAAAAAGGAATTGGAGACATTAATTTATTTTATTTTATACCTGTAAAATCTGCGCGGGCCATTAGGAAGCAGAAAAAACACACACACATTTATTGTCCTGAGATGAAATAGCTTATTCATACTTATAGTTGATGCTTTAGAACTCGTGATGTAGTACACTGCTATCGATCCAGCTAGCTTTGATTGACTATTAGCGTTAATAATTTTTTCACTGAGCAGACATTAAAAATTACGATATTTATAATTAGCTTTATAAATATTCACAATACAAAATACAAATATTCACATACAAAACAATACAGTACTTGGTATTTATTCAAAATGTCACGGATATAGAAGTATATTTCGTAGTTGCACTAAAATGACAAAAGAAATGTTAGTATCGTTGGATTTTCTGATGTGTGTTACTGTTGAACAGACCACGTAAGGTCAGGAGATCATATAAAGTCTTTGTTCTGAATCACCCATGCGTCACTGTTGTGAAATTGCCTCTGAGACAAAAGGCAAAACATGCCTTGAGATATGCTGAAATAGGCTTCGAATATGCATGTCTAATTAGTACTAAGAAAGTAACTTCAGGAGCTCACCGAGGTACAATAGCTTGTAACAGTGGCAAATAAAACAAATTTTAAGATTTTTCAACAGAAAAGTTGAGTGGTAAAAAATCACACAGGCGTTCGTAAATATTGTAGCTCATCTTTTGTCAATCCTTTTTCTGGAACAATGAAAAGTATGATTTGTTTCTTTGTTTCTTGAATAATCAACAGTTTCAGAATTAAAATAAGTTATGGTATATTAATAAAATGAAATAATGATGTTCGGAAAATGAACCCAAACAGAGTATTTTAAACACAGGACAATCGATCCAAAGTAACGAAGAATTATACCAATATGTTGCTCTAATCCATGTAGATTGTAAAAGTGCTCAAAACATGTCGCACAGAAACTTGCATTCCATTCTCAGTCACTGATGTTGATGGACAAATTTTGTCGCGACGAAGGAGAACGATTTAGTTAGAACATCTAGATGAATACGATATTGAGGATGAGTGGTATTAAATAGTTGTACATCGACCTTCACTGTAGGAGGCATAGCACATAAAGGGCGGGCGGATACAAGGGGAGGGGCTGAAAGTGGAGGAACAGTTTCAGTTTGGCTTCCTGCATAAATAAATACAATTTGCAATAAAATAGTCAGTTGGAAAAAAGATCTACATTCAAAATCTAAATAACCCTTTTGATGTGATATTCTATATTGGCCTCTGAGAAGGCAGTAAGATAAATCGTTACATGCAATGACGATAACGTAAGTGTGCAAATTTTCTATGATGACAGGAATTGGAATACAGAACCGAAACATTGCCGAAAATTTGTATTATTTATCTAATACCTTTGGGGATCTTTGAGGATGATATCACGAAAAAATGAACAGTTGCAGTATACCAGATCCATGATACTGTAATAAGGGAACTTGTATACAATGAACATTGTTACTTAATTTTTGAAATAGAAAACTTTTTCTTGGAATAGTTAAAATAATGTAGGGATGTAAGAAAAAACTTTTGGAAAAGAATATTTGGAGATTGATGAAACATTATCTGCTCAATTCACATAATTACATTTAGAGCTGGATTTCGTTGTAATGAGACCTAAAGATGACCAAACAATAGGGCTCTAATAAATTCACACGGAGAGCAAGAAATAATCAATGAGATTGTGAATACAAACTATGACATTTGAATTTTTTAAATTAGTATTAGAATATTTTTAATATTTATGAACTATTATAAAACTGTATTTTAAAAACACGCAGCTCCTAACCAGCGGGGGGCCTAAACACGTGCTGAGACTGTTAATAGATTAATGCACCGCTGATTGTAGCCGTCTTCACTAGCCGAGCAGTCATCTTCAGTTATGCAAATTGAATGAGGCCGTCAATGGCTGTTATTAATAAATTGCCCACGCGCCAAGACGTACTCCTCTGCACAGCACACTCCGTCACGTGTAACACTACATACTTTCAAACACATGTGTAGTTTTGTTTTACAGCAGTAAAAATGATTAACACATTTAAACTGTTTAATATGAAAAAGCTTTTATTTTCCGGATAAGAAGTTATCTGGGTTTCCCCCAGCAAATTGCGTCGGCCGCACGGTCGTAAAAAATCCTCCCCTCCCTCGACGCGGGCAAGGGGCGAAACGGGCTAGGGGTCGTCGGGTAAACCGACACCACAATCCCGGCAAAAAGGCGGTGACCGTGTCCTGGCAATGTCGGTGACAACGGACCTACAGCCCGTGGTGTGACTCAATTAAATAAATAAATATTTTATTTATTTATTGAGGAAACCAAACAAACTGTTCCTCCGCTCCCACCCCCTTTGAAGGTATAATATCAGCCAATTTTTCTTTGTAAAGCCTACTTGTTTGGTGTGGTGAATGCTAATGCGGCGCGCGTGCGCGTGCGCGTGCGCAGGCGCGGGGGGCGTGCTGTGGTGGGCGCTGTGGTGGGCGCAGACGGCGGACAGCCCCGAGCGCGACCGGCGCGTCTCCGACAAGGAGCGGCGCTTCATCGAGGACGCGCTGGGCGTCGACACGGCCACCGCCAAGGTGAGCGCCCCCCCCCACACTGGCTCCCAGAGCGGCTTGGAAGCGTGGAGTGTAATCGTATTTCAAAGGGTGTGAGATTTCAAGAAAAAAAAAGAGATGGTTATCAAATTTTCATTATAAATATATCAAATTCTACCCTATAATCGAAATGCCGTTGATATTAAATTACAATAGTGTACTATTAATACTACAGATATATACTATAGGTTACTATTAAAAAAGAACAGCTATAACAAATAATTACGCTCTTAGAGATCCAAATAAAGAAAGAATGCTAAGATTTTGTGTACTTATTTCATACTTCAAATTTTATATTAAAAGTACATTACATATCATTATATATCAAAATTTTAAATAATATATAAAAGGAGTGTACATATAAAGCAAACGAATAACGAATATAAAGCAAAAGAAACGAAAAATAAACGAATAACGTTTATTAGATATAAAATTCAACTCGCAATGATTAAAAACTTTAAACGAAGACTCTGATTAGTCCTCAACAATGAGCCACGTATTTATACGTAATGATACACGTAATGATAAAGAACTGTTCTGTTGCGAATTATGGAGAATATTCACTTTACTGTACCCCCTAAATACAAAACATAGATGTTTAAATCTTTAAAATAGATCGAGTATAAACGCGCATTAACCAATTTATACCCCCTGTTCAAATCATGGAACAATCAACTTCACTTTTTTAAATTCAATTGTCAATTATATTACAATTTTTACATATTCACGTACGCAAATTTTGTAATTTGTGAATCCTAGATGTTACGTTGAGTTCACTTCTGCCCACTATTCGCCAATTCTTTGTGCAGGTTTCCTTTCATCCGTGGCGGCGTTTCTTCACATCTCCAGCATATCTGGGGAAACTGGTCGCTCATTTCTGTGCGAATTGGGGATTCTACACTCTCGTAACTCAAATGCCCATGTACCTTAAAGGTAAGTATATACATTTCTACAATATTTCTGCGGGAACCATCGGTTTTACGTTTAAATAATCAGGTAATTTTACTGGATATTAAACTCTTGGAGTCATGTAGCTACAATAAAACGTCTGCAAGTGGTACATAACACGTTTACAAATGGATCATTTTCTTAAAATGTTAAGAGAGATACTTTAATTTGTCATTCTACGTACATTCTTAATAATTTTCGATAAAATATGAAAAGGAATGAAGAATATTTTAGTTTATATAGACATTTCAATTAGGACACTTTTAAACACCTCTTGCACACAATGTTATCATTGATTTGTTAAGAAGCCTCACACTCTTTGGTCATTTGATAAATTAAGTTTTGTAGAACAGTCACCTCTTTTAATGTTCATTTTGTTCTCTAATGAAGGCAATTTTCAACGCGCGTAGCACTTCACATTGTATGAGGAGAAAAAGTTGAAAGCTAATTAAGTAAGGGAATAGAGTTGGTAACTTAACTTTTGTATTTGCTTTAGTCTCACCATTATTAGCAAATTAGTGTGCGAGGTTATAAAAAACAAATAGAAAATTTAGTTGTGGCGAGCCCGCGAAGGAAAATTAGTATTAGAAAAACTTAATGTCATTGAACTTCAGATCTTTTTATTCTCTTCTCCTTTTCTCTGTTCCTTGTTTCAATGTGTAGCAATGTTCATACCAGAGTGACGTGTGGTAATGTTTGCCGAGTAGTACAAGCAAAACATGATTTACAAAATTGACTAACGAAGAATCCTTTACTTACACTTTACAGATTTTACCTCTTGATGTGAAAATACAAGATTCCCGAAATTTTGAGAATTAAAACATGATTTAATAATATAGTTGAAACAAATAGCAATTCTGCCTCATCTGAGTACTGATGGTCAAATATAAGGACACTTGTCTTTTGTAATCAACTATAGAGCCTACCGCCATTAATTTCACTAAAGTAAACTAAAAGCAAATCCTGCAGGAGAGATTCGTTGCTGACCGCCGTTTCTGAAGATGCCCGCCCTGTTGCAGACACGCTGGGCTTCGACCTGCGCGCCGCGGGCTTCGTGTCCGCGCTGCCCTACGTGGTGATGGCGCTGCTGCTGCAGGTGGCGGGCCACACGGCCGACTGGCTGGAGCGCCGCCAGCTGCTCAACACCACGCATGTGAGTAGCCAGCCCCCCCCTCCCCGACTCAGGGCAAGGTGGCCTCGGACGGAAAAAATCCAGCGCATTGAAGTCGCAGGCCACTCAGGTGCGTGATCTGGGCTGTCCGGGTGACGCCGCGCCGCGTGTTGCTACCACAGCCTTCGACGCGGCGTCACCCGGACAGCCCAGATCACGCAATCCAGCGCATTGGCTTTTGGGAGCTGGTTGCGAAAAGAAAACGGGAAAGGGCAGGAAAGGGGGGCCGGAAAGCGATTGACGATGAACGAGTACCGAT